AACATTCACTGCAACATCATCGCGGGCCTTTTGCTGACAAACACAGCGCGCATCGACATCAATTTTGTTTCCCCTACATTAGGATTCCCCAGTAGCAGCAGACCGGCAAACCACACACACAAAATATCCATCAACGATGGTGAGTAAAATTATTGAATCAGACGTTCATGTTTCGAATGCGTTCTAAATCACGTCTTCTTTCTTTTCTAACGTTTTCATTTTGCCTCCGCTTTTTATATATCTTCATTCTACGTTTCTTTCATTCACTGATACCTTTTATTCCTTCTCAATATCTTCCTCCACCTTCTCTTCCTCCATCTTCTTCTTCTTCTTCTTCATCTCCTTCTTCTTCTTCTTCTTATTATTATTATTATTATTATTATTATTATTATTATTATGTTTTGCCTGTGTTTTGTATGAGTTGATCCCAAGTTTAAACCAGTGTCTTAAAGCGACAAGTTTTATTGTCATCAGAAGATGCAAACTGGTGAGGTGCCATAAATAATATAATTGTGGTCATTGGATGGAGAGAAATCTACGCAAGATGTGAGAAGTATTCATTAGTATAATTTTGGTAATTCCCATATTTTAAAAGCTAGCAGGAATTTGACCCACATAGTTGTTTTAAACACTTTGATATTATTCCCAAAGCTCCAAGTAATGTCACATTCTATGTCATTGTCATTGTATGTGCTTCTTATTATTATTATTAATATTATTAATAATAATAATAATAATAATACAAATGGTAATAATAATAATAATAATAATAATAATAATGGTAAACTCAAGATACCAATATGATCATTTTTTTTCTCAAGAGAAGCGACGGTTGTACAAAGACTTGTATTTTTCATATTTTTTATACTTGTATGTAATTTTTAAACATAACCTGAAGATAGACATACTGCCGAAATAGTGTCAAACATTATTAAACACTGTCTTTTTCTTTCCCTTTTCTTAAATCGTGCTCTTCATTAAGTGGTATAATAATAATAATAATAATAATAATAATAATAATGAAGACAATTTTTGACCTTAGGTCTCTGGTTGGGACCCGGAAGGAAATGTGTATACAACAGAAATCAATAATAATAATAATAATATTGTTGGTGGTGTTATTATTATTTAATGCATATTAAAAACAGATATATGGTGCTTATGACTTATGATCGGGTTACGACAAGTAACCAGAACCTTCCCCAGTATCTACACCATGATCTGAACAGTCATAATTCTTCTTTAATTCTGAAACCTCTAAAATCATCCAACTCCGATTGTGTATGTGATACATTTCCAACTGTACGAGTGCTTCACAGTTTTATAAGCGCCATCTGGCGGTGATTCTGGTATTTTCTTTCTTCTCTTTTTTTTTTTTTTTTTCACTCTTGAACCTGTGTTCCCCTGTGACAATCAACGTCTGCTAGACTTTCTTTATTGTAATTAATATTATTTCCAATTTTGCTGAATCACCATTTGATACAATCCTTTATACAATCCTTTTTTTTTTAACCTGAAAACTAAGATGAATATTTTTTCTTAAAAAGACATTACTCTTACTATTCCAGCAAATCTTTTAGCCGATTTTAGTAATTATGTTGTCTATATTACAGTGCTTCTTGACTATTTTTCATGAACTGTTCAACTCACCCATATTCCCTAAATATTCCATTGGTAAGGAGGAAGTTCCACTCAAACAGCTTCTTCCTTAGAATCGTTTCATTGTAGAACAGACTCCCAAGAGGATACTTCTTCGAGCACGATAATATTAAGTTTTTCAAATCGAGCGTCAACCATTACCTATCCTACTTATCCTTATAATATGCATAAGTCTTATCAATTATCCCGTAGCTGGGGGTAGAAGAGATGGATTCATACCTTTCCCAAGGGTATTTGCGCGTAACGAACCCAACGGGAATTGGAACTCGGTTCTCCGATTAACAATTCTGAGCCGTTATCCATTACACCACCCGTATGTCCAAGCTTACAGCACCTGGTATACCCAAGTGGTCACTCATTTATGTACTGACCGGGTACTGGTAATCCCAAGCGGTCATACATCTAGATATATTTGAGTCAGAGAGCAGTGCTCGAATGACGTGATCCTTGGATACAAATATTATTATTGGTGCATAATTATCAGGCGTTTTTAAATAATATTTATTATGAAAAAAGAAACATAACAATTCAACAATAACATTTTTAAATGATTATTCCGGAGCGTATGAACGACACGCATTTTTATAACCTGAAAATAAAATATCTTTATTAAAAAAAGCAAACAAAACAGCCATTTTTATTAACAAATAACTACAACAACGCCTGATAATTATGCACCAACCCAATAGTATTATTATTAAGTGTAAGAGCAACACGCCCACAAAGTTACTCTGGTGTACGAAGTTCAATATATCCATCACGAAACTCCGTCTAATAAGTATATAATAGGCACACGCATCACAGCCAAATGTGCGCGTTATTGTGGCGGGTTTTCACAAAAACAGCGCTTAACTTTGCAAGTCGGGCTCAGTTATAAATACCTTTTATGTCGAGTAACCTCATCATTCAAATGTCCTATTATTATCATTATTGTTAATATTAGCAGCAGTAATAATAGTAATTGTAGTAGTAGTAGTAGTAGTAGTAGTAGAACTTTTACCCTTATTCTTTCCCGCTTTCCCATTTCATCCTCATCTTTATCTTTCCCTCTTTTATTTTATTTTCCGTTAATTTCTTTCTTTCTTTCTTTCTTTCTTAACTTATTTCTTCTAGTTCTTCTTCTTTTCCATACCTTGATTTTTGATTTCTCCTTCTTTAACATCGCTATGGTTTTTTTACACGTTCATTTCTTTCTTTCTTTCTTTCTTTCTTTCTTTCTTATCCTCATCTTATTCTTTCACCTCGATTTCCCCATCTCCTTCTCATTTTTCTTCTTTTCACCTTTCTTCCTACTTTTTTCTATTAATTATTTCATTGAGGTCTATTATTCAACAATATTTTGACAGTGAGGTTTGGTCGCCGTAATTGGTCACGTGGTTTATCGATTAAACTTTCTTAAGAAAATTATGAAAACAGATAATAACGTTTATCCATGCATATAGATGTAAGTACATCAATTTTACCGTAGTCTAATTATTAAAAAAAACATTAATTTTGCTCGAAATACAATAAATATCCATTTTTTTTTAATATATTCACAGTTTTTGTAATTAATTCCGTTGTGAATATTAATGAAATAGATCGAAACATTATACAGTGAATATTGGAGATCCAAATTCGCAGAATAACTGTTGTCAGACGACAACGTATTGCTCTCTCATCCTACGTAGCATAGCGTGTGTATAATGGAGGTCGGTGTAGAGAAATCGATAGCAAAATATTCACGAAGATTTTTTGCTAGTAGAATAGGTTCGATTCTCACTGGGAACCAAAGAACTGGAGTTTTAAATAAGCAAATATTTTTGAGCGCTTGCTGTAAACACGATGTTTAGAAAACATGTCGCTCAAGCTACACTGGGTGTGTCACTGTTGTGATCTTCTACCAAAATATTGAAAATGACGATCATTATTGCTATATAGCGTCTCAGCTGAACATGGGTAATCATGGCTATTCACAGCTTCCTCTTTCATTTGGGATCTAAACAACTTTGAATATTTACCACTCCTTCTTGCAACTATTATTCCATCCATTCTCACAAACTTATTAGGTAAATTGCTTTCTGTTTCTATTCTTTCCATGTGGACATTACATTCTCGAAGCTGTCTTTCCTCATAAATTTTCCAGGAAGTTGTTTTCCATGGAAATAGCTATAGTGTAAGTATTGCTACCGTATACACACCCATGCGTTTGAGCATACATACACCCCAGTCGAATGTTAGCATCTTTCTGTCTTATTTTAAGAAAAACACAATGAGGGATAAAAAAAACTATGGTTAGAACTCTAATCTCTCGGATCCTTAGTTCTGGGGATCGATCCTCATTGCCTCCACCACATGTCCGCGTTAATTTATACTTCAGGGCATAAGCGATCATGGCTCGCCACAGATTCCTTTTTCTTCATTATCTGTGAAGTGCTATGTCTTCTTTGGAAAAATATTCATCATTTCTGTGCCGTGTTCCTTCAGGACATGGGTGATCGTGACTCTCCACAACTTCCTGTCCTTGCAACTCTAAGCAATATTTGACTCTTTACCATACCACCTTGTCATTACTGCTCTACAATCTTTTCACACAAACTCATTCAGTGTGTTTAACACTGTTTCCCGCTACCTTTTTTTCACTTAATACATCCTGTGAGTATTAAATTTTCCAAGCCGATCTTCCTCATAATGTGTTCCAGAGATTTTAAATGAATCTTTCCGACTTTAAGTGTCTTCCTAGTTCCAATTTCCTTTAGGACATCCTTGTTGCTCACGTACCCGCTTCAAAAATTATAAAGATCGAATTGACCGAACATTTTACAATCCCCCTTTCGTTGAGATTATAATAATTCAAATGTTTTAATTGATAATGGTTCAAAAGAGGGAAGAATAATGAAGCTGACAATATATATATATATATATATATATATATATATATATAAAAACACACACACACACGAAATAAAGGACATTAAGTGCTTCCATTGCGCGAAAAGGTGAAAGTTATTGAACTGGGAAAAAATCGTATGGTTAAATTGTTAATATTTACGTCCTGAATAAATGTAATCAAAAGCACAACTATATTTAAAATCAACATCGGACGTTATACGAGTATATACGGTATATATATATATATATATATATATATATATATATATATATATATATATAGTTTTCTGTTTTTTGCAATAAGTGCATATCTATGATAAATTTGAATTTATAATTTAGGCATAATAACAATACAAGTATGAAAATATTATTGGAGAGATAGATAGATAGATAGATAGATAGATAGATAGATAGATAGATAGATAGATAGATAGATAGATGGTTGATGTGAGTTTGTGACCATAGGTCATAAACTCATATCGACGCAAACTAAATATGTTAGAAATATGAAAAATATGTTAAAAATATGTTAAATATGTTAGCTCTATCACTGATATTGAGTGCTTTCCAATAAGTACCGCGCATATATAATATATAAATAATATATATAAATATTGCATATATATATATATATATATATATATATATATATATATTGCATATATATATGTTGCTTATATATATATATATTGCATATATATATATTTATATACATATATACATTATTATACATATATATATATATATATATATATATGTATATATATATATATATATATATATATATATTGCATTAATATTATCTTTTGTTATAAATTTATTGTTATTATTAGTTATTATGACTAAATTATAAAAATTAATCATTCATATGCAAGTATAGGTAAATCATGGGAGATGCTGAAAAGTTTAAACAAAAAGATTAAAAATCTGATGTTTGGTCATTTGGTCAAATTTTGGAAAATCGAATGGCCTGGGACCTTTTCAGCATCCCCTCATATATATGATAATCGGTATTATCCGCGCTTTGCCATATAATCCGTGTATAAGTTGGGCGTTGCATTCTGTTTTGCGGCTTTTGCCGCTTTACAATCGTTTTAAATCCATGTCGAAACTTTTCTTCTCTCGATTAAATGGACGTTGATTTTATTGTTGTTTCAAACACATTAGATTAGAAATTTTAAAATTTAAAAACACTTGATATAAATACAATAAAAATTAAAAATACTTTATATTACATACTATAAAAATACGTTATATTAAATATAGTTTTCGACTTTTAATTCCAGTGATAATTCATTTAGAAGTGTTCATTAACTTGTTTTTATTAGGAATTAAAGCAGTTTAAATGATTTTTAGTATTAAATTATATTCTCTCTATTCCCGTTTTTATTCCTTAAATTTATCATTTTTAAAAATTAGTCCTGTTATCGATTCCTAATAATATCAGTGATTTTTAATTATATGTTTTTCTTATTAATTCTATTTTCTTAATCTCGGTCACAATCTCTATTTTTAATGTGATTTATATTCTCTCTATTCCTGTTCTTATTCCTTAAATGTATCCTTTTCTTAAAGCTTTTATTCTAATTCTATTCATTTAATCCGGTTTTCTATTCTTAATCTTATTCTCAGTTACTCCTTTTTAATTATTCTATTTTCCTGGTAATTAGTTTTATTCTTTTAATCTTTATCATAACATCTATTGTTGAATGTAGTTTATATTCTCTTTCTTCCTATTCTAATTCTCAGTGTATGTTTTTTTTTAAACAAACTTCGATTTTCTTATTATTCGTGCTATTCTTATAATCTCGATCATAATCTCTGTTCTTTAATATGAGTTATGCTCCCTCTATTCTTGTTGTTCTCAATCTCAGCGCCGTTCGTTTATTGTCAATGCCTATTTTGAGCTGTGTTGAGGCGTAGAGTAGATGAACATTTTGCAGCGCAGGAAAATGGTACAGTCAAACTGAGCTCGAATTTCAGCTGACGTTCCTTGTGTTTATGTTTACTTATAGGTGCCAGCAAAATGAACAGCCCAATATTCGAATTATAAATTGAACAGACCAAAATCAAGCAAATAGAAAACTTTAAATATCTACGAAGGGCTTTAACAGAAAACAGAAAACGCGACACCTAAATCCGAAGGTATAATGGGATAGCAATTTTTTTTAATATTAAGGGCAATAAGTGAAGTTCATGGGTCTATAAAGGAAAGATAACAGCTACCCCTAGACTTGAAGAGGTCAAGATTATAGTGATTGTGAAAACATCCTACATCGTTCAAAAAGCTAAGCAAAGTATTAAGAAACTGGAAAATTTCATTAGCAACAAAGAATAGGGAACTGAACTGTTACGTAATAAACGTTCTTCTGTATTGCAGTGAATACAATCTCATCACAGAAAAAACTTGAAGCAACAGAAATGTGCTCCTACAGAAGGATGCTGAGGATACCATGGACCGAAACATGTGAGCAACGACGTATTTTTTTAGAGAAAATGGAAACAAAAAGGAGACTTATACTTAGATTCATATAGACACCTTTGAAATATCTAGGGCACATAGTGAGGAAAGTAGGCTCAGAAAATTTGACACTCACAGTATATATTGAATGCAGTGGAGCAGAGTAAAGCAACACGTAACCTACTTAGCGAACCTGTGTAAATGGGTGTCAGAACAGGGATTAGGAGAGATCACAAAAAGATAAACTTTATTAAGAGTTAAAAGACGGGAAATTGTGGAAAAACGACACAAAAAAGAAGCACTAATGTATTTTCAAAAAGCATGAATCGACACCCTTACGTTCTGACCTATCGCCATAATCCTTAAAAAATTGTCTTGTCGCCGCCATGTTACTATAGCTGGCGATAAAGACTGTGATTGACAACTGAGGAGAAAGTACTTTCACACAACTATCCTATCACCCAATATTAGAACATGCTTATACCAACCTAACATGCCATTTTGAGCGCTTGTTGTTGTAAAGTAAATTATACATATCCCCCTGACGTCTGTTTAAAATGACGCCATCATTTTTCCGTGTATTTGAACTACGATTTTGTCTATATCTTTGGTGATATCTTTGATGATATTTTTGATGATATGATTACTTGCATTATTTACATTATTCGGACTTTTATCTCATCTTCGTTGCCATATTAACAACGTCCTCAAGAACATATGGCCCAGTGGATAAAGACGTTGGTTAGATCCAGTGACTAAACCCAAAGAGTTGTGAATTCAATACCAGGCCACAGCAGTGGCGAACCAAAAAACTTGGGAAGTTCAGTTAAAGGGAAATAACTGAGACATCCGTAAGAGGCATGGCACGTGGAACTAAAACAATCTACCCTGGTGGACGAAATAAATCGAATTTCCAATCACCTGAAGAAGGCGGAGTGTACAACGGCCGAAACGTTGTGAATATGGCAATGAAGATGAGGTTAACAGTCCGGATAATATAAATAATGCAAGTTAAACTATGATTATAAACTATAATTTTCTGAAGTGAAAACTTTATTGATATATGATGGAAAATTTCCAAGTTTTCATGAGAAATTTAAAATATACTAACTTTCCGTAAAATACTTATGGAAAAAAATGCGTCATTTTAAACTGATGTGAAGAAGATATGGGTTCCGACATTCATATATAGTAATGTCGGATTTTACTGGAAACTTCCAGGATACGATCTTCTGTCAGACAATGCATATCTTTGTGAATGTAATTTAGAACAATTTAATTATTTTAAAATTAAATGTTTTAATGACGTCATACTTACCTGTTCATTTTTTTTAAAATTGTCTAATAATTTAAGCGAATAATGTGATACATCGTTATTGATACGTAATATTACCTTTATAAAAGTTTACAAAGGTCGTCAAAAACTTATGGTTGTATTTTTATAAATATTTTATAAGTACAATGCAACTAAAAAATTACTATCTGTTTATTTACAAGTTAAAAAAATAATCTGAACGCGAAAAATAATTTAAGACAAGCACGTTATGGCATTTTAATTATTTATTTATTTAATCGATTTTACCCCAACTAAGGCAATAAAGCCACTAAGATACAAGAGGTTACTAGGTGTGGAAGTGCTAGGCTTGGGTTGATTTATTTTGTTTTACGGTATATCAACCGTAACCCTTTGAGTCCTACATTCCTGAACAATTTTAATCCTTCTGTCTGAGCTCCTGAGTCAAAATTCGCAAATTGGTATGTAATCTTTCACGGTAGATACAAAAATAATTAAAAGTGTTTACCCACCGTTCAAACAGTGGCTGGGCATTATGTCATTTTTCTCTACCACTGGTAAATTGGTGGTCAGGGCTCAAAAGGTTAATGGGTTATTTAATGCTGACAAAATTTTTAGTATAGTTTCGTATGAATAGAATGTATTCTTTGTAAGAAATCAGTTTGTACATCAGGTTTCATTAACACATTTTTCTAAAGTGATTTTGTCGAGAGCCAAATGTATTGCTGGTAATAGTTTGTTTTTTTTTTTCCAAAAAATGTAATGCTAGTAATATTTTTACTATAAAAATCTATTTTTATATTTTCATAGTGTTTTGACCCCAGTTCAGGAGTTCATATTTTCTCATAGCTGGGAGCCACCCCCTCCCACACACACACACACACACCTAACAGGTGCTACGACCCCGGATCAAGGATGAATTAGGAACAGAAACATTACTAATGAACGGGAAGAGAAAAGAAAAACAGTAGATAGCGATTGACATTGCATTTAAATTTTTGGAGATTAAAGTCGGCTAGAAAGTATGGAGCCGGAAAGGAGTTCCACAAGCGAGAAGTATGAGAAAAGAATTGCATAGAATTTACGGCTACATCTAGCCAGCTTAACTGTAAATTGATGAGATCTTGACGCCACGCTTAAATTCAAGAAATCTAGGTACCATTGCGAAGAGCTCGTTCGAACAATTAATATGAAATTATTTTAATGATAGAAAATTTCATTTATACTACGTCATCAGAAGAATCCAATACACAATGATGAAAAAAATGACTATTGCCATTATTGACTATTGTTTTGTAAATATTGTAAAAGGTTACACACGAACACATACAGATACTATATATACAGACCAACACATCTCCCTCAGTCTCATGCTAACACCGATACCCCAGAGGGATGTGTATTAAGGCCTCTTCTCTTTAGCATCTACACTTGTCACTGCGTCCCTATCCATCCCACCAACACGATCTTTAATTTTGCAGGCGATTCTACACTGCAGTTGGACTCGTTTGAAGGGGCGGGGGAAGTTTGGTTTTGGTTTGTTTTATGGCATGTCAACCTCAATGGGTTATTTAATGCCGACAAAATTTTTATTACTGGTAATATTTTTTCTTTCAAAAATTTATTGCTGGTGATAATTTTTTTATAAAGTTTTTCTGATATTAAAACGTATTTTTACACTTATTGTTTTAACCCTAGTTTGGGGGTTTATTTAT